GGTGCTGTAGGTGTTGAGTAGGTGCTGTAGGTGCTGTAGGTGTTGAGCAGGTGCTGTAGGTGCTGTATAGGTGCTGTAGGTGCTGTGTAGGTGCTGTATAGGTGCTGTAGGTGCTGTGTAGGTGCTGTAGGTGCCGGCGGTTCCCAACCTGCACTTTCCCCCTTGCACAAAACTATTACAACGAGTTCTGATGATAGCTACCTTTGTTACATTACTAAATACATTTTTTTTTCTTTATCACCTTTTTCAAAACATTGCAACGAGCTGTGAACACTAATAGCATGTATGTTGGGTGCGAACTTAACAATGTGTGGTGAAGATAAATCAACTGTTTCTTTTAAACAATCTTTTGTTGAATTGTTCAATACTATGGATCGAAGACAAGGATGTTGAATCGAGCTAAATACAGGTACTGCAATAGTACAAAAAGTATACCGCGATTTCTCATCGGCTGTACATTTTCTTTCTTTATAATCAAACCATCCTGACGAGCTTCCATCTTCACCTAATGATAAAAAACGAGGAAAATTTGCCGTGTATACAGCTTTTCTTTCATCGACAAACAATGGCAGACGCGTTATTTTATAAAGATCCTTCTTCTTTTTCGAGAAGTCTCCTGGAATACCAAAAAAGTTTTCTATCCTAGCGTGACCAACAATTTTCGGAAGAATCGAATCAAGATCGATTGTTTCATTTCTAGCAACTGTATCATTTGCATCTGTTTCAACAATAAAATTGAAATCATCTTCTTTCAATTCGTATAATATTTTACTTTCATTTACTTGAGAAAAAGAGATTATTTGTTGCACTAGAAGATTAGGCACGAATTGGGCTAACGAAGCAGAAAAATTCAACGGCAATTTAGATCGAATACAATTCCATAAAAAATCGTGAACAAATGTTCTTTGTTCTGGAGAAAACATCTCTAAATTCAAATCATGATTAGATACCCTTGAAAATGCGGATATCATTTGTTCGTAATGTCTCCGCATTTCCGTCTTTAACGAAAATTTCGCCCAACCTGTGAAAGTCTTTTGTTCTCTCAACGACAACTTTAACAAGCTGTGAATCAAAGCGCGTGTTGTATTGACACTGTCAAACAAACTTTTAAAACTCTTCAACATAACAAGATTATTGTCTTCTAACGATAAAATAGATGTAATTAACACATCGTCTAGTTTTTCTTGATGTTTCTGAAAGTTTTCACTTTTATCTAAACGATGTACTACTTCATCATTACTTCCTCGAAAAAGATCACCGATAATCTTATATCCAACATACAGTGCGGAACTAACTAGTAAACCTTCCATAATCGTCTGCCGCCTTCCGCGTTCTCCAACATGAGCTTCAAACAACTCGTTCAATCTCCGAGCGCTACCGTTCTTATAAATGTCTGACCTAGTGCACACCTTTCAAATGGTGAATAATCTTTATCAAGATGAATAATAAGTGATGTTATTGGGTGTTTGAACATATGCAATGATGAAGATCTAGTTAAATCAATATAAAAAGACTTATCAGTGTTTATTTTTTCAGTAGGTAGATTTAGTCAGTACTAAATCGACTTTCAGAATTGAACGGAGAAAAAAGTGATGAAAATTTCTCATATGTTTCTGAATACTAGATTAAAGATGAAATTTTGGTCGTGACAAATAGTAATAAAACAAGAAATAATTAAATCAAAATTAAATCAAATTTCTTACCGAAAAATAAAGATGCAGCTGTGTTCATATTGATGTTATATAAACCAAGACCATATAAATTTGGATAAAAGGCGGCAACAAGAATACGATCCACAGACAAAAATTCAAGATGAAGCCATTTAATATTTCGACCAATTTTTGGTAATATTCGAAAACAAAATTTGTCAATTAAATTTTCATATGGTGGACAAATAACATCATTTGATTCTTGTTGAAATATTGTTAATGATTGTGTTACACGATACTCATACAATATTTTGTCAATTCGTTCATTAATTCCAGTTAATGAACAAAAAGCATCAACACTATTTAATTTCATAAAAATCAAAATTAGTAATTCATCGGGTCAGTCCATTAATTCTATTTGGTTCATTTTTTAAGATGATGATGACGATGAATGATGATATTTAAATCTAAAATAATTGTCTCAAAATATCAGAGGTAAAAAAAAACTATTTATATATATTAATTTCATATAAGAGTATATGACTGAATGAAGCCTATAACACTTCTTGAAATATTTGTGAACCTGTATATGGCACAATAAAATTTAATGTTAAAAAAAAACCTTATAATATTCAAATGACAAATCACAAATGAGCCATTTGTTATTTTAGTACGGACCCACACGGCAAAGAGCATAGTGAAATAAGAGAAACAATAGCGAGTTCAACATGATTGGTGTTTTCCGATTTTGAGAAGGGCCAAATATCACTTAGGTATCAGTAGATAGAGAAAATTTTTCTCTATCATATGGTAATTTTGGTTTTCTATAGAAAAGAGGCGTTCAAAAGCTCCGCTAGGTGTCGTTAGTAACTTTTTTACCATGATTGGATGAAAGCATCTTCACGTTACTCATTCTCCTCATTGTTTGACTCTGACAGTAAGTTCCATGCGGGTAATAATAATCCGCCGAATTTTTGGCCTACGGCCTACGCGAGCCTAAAAAATATTATTCGTTTGTTTTTCTGTTCGTATGAATCATCTGCAGAACGAAAAAAAAATAACCAATTATTTTCGTAGGCCTACGTAGGCCGTAGGTCAAAAATTCGGCCGATTATTATTACCCGGTACGTACCATTTGTCATTTTAAATGACAAATGAAAATTGTAGTATTTATATTGATTTGTGTGTATTTCTTCCAATTAACAACGAACGCATTTCTTATTGGTTATATCTATAATTACTTTTCTCAGAAAAAAAATAAATTCAAAAGATTTTCATATAATATGCTCTAGAACGATCAAAGTAACATAATAATAATATAGTCACTTCTAATATATCTAATTTTATTAATAATACATCTAGATAGAGGCCTGTTTCCAGAGGAAACGCAATGATGATGTAACTATATATGATGAAATAAAAATTTCTGCATTGCTCATGTCTGAAGTTAACAATGTTGGTTTGATAGCACTGTTAGTTACAATACTTTTTTGTGATTGTCTTTCAATAGGTTAGTGTTGTCTTAAATATATGTAAATTTATGATTAATAAAATTTGACACTTAAAAGAATTTTTTTTGTCAAATTATTTAAATTATATATCTATGCCAAATCATGTGGAAGATAATAAATTTTTTCGTAGAAGAAATCAACAATTTTTTACTTATCAAAAATAAACTAGACGATTTTGATTATTAGAAGCCCTCCATGAAAGATGTCCGTGAAAAAAACGCCATTTTTTGACCTCCCCTCTCCCTGTCCAAAAATCCTCATTTTTAGCTGACTATCATCTCCTGAAAGTCTAGTTTGAAATTTTTTTCAAAAAAGTGCCCATTTTTTCAATGTAACTTTTTATTTTCTATGAAACGGTCTATGTATGTTCCATTTATGTAATTTATTGGTACATTATTGTAACCAAACCTACGAAATTGCAGTTATTTTTACTTTGTAACACCTATATCCCACCCGTGATGAAAGTAAACTGTAGGAGTTCTTACCACAAATAGAGATTATTTAGTTCGATTGTTAGCAAAAACTTCATTGGTTTTTCTTTAGCCAGAGCTGAGTCATTCAAAATAACGAACTTTACGAAATTTCAAAAAGTCATACATTTCAAACGTGAAACTTGAATTCAATTATTGAAAATCTATTTCAAATATTCAAATATTCAATTACCGAATAATTGAAATTCAACTTTTCAAATATTCAATTTTTTAAAAATTGAACTTCAACTATTCAGGTATTTCAAATATTCATTTTTTCAATAATTGAAGTTTAAATATTCAAGTATTTCAAATATTTATGTTCTCAATAATTGAAATTCAAATATTCAAGCATTTCAAATATTCAAATTTTCAATAATTGAAGTTCATCTATTCAAGCGTTTCGAATATTCAGTTTTTGTATAGTTGATATTCAATTAGTAAATTCTTCGATACTTCTAGTTCATGTATTCGGATATTGATTGGTTTCATCTTTTACCTATTTGAAATTTCATCCAGAATTGAATTAGTTTCTATATCAGGTAACTGAAGCCGCGTCGCCAGAACGCAGTTTCCTTGAACTCAACATTCGTGTTGCTGCACGCAGGTACATCGATCAGTTGTCCTAGCCAAAACGGGGTTGCCAAGCAGGATGACATATACAACGCTCAGCGCACACGTAACGCCGGGGGGGTGTGGCTGCGGCAAAAGGAGTTTCACGGAAGGTTACATTCATCTCAATCACGCACACATGACGCGACGGCGTAAGGGTGCGAAGGAAGCAGTTTCACGGGAAGACAAGGGAGTTTTCAGGAAGAGCACATTGACATCACACGACGGCGTGCGGGTGCGGAGAAGGGAGTTTCCGGGAACACGACATTCACAAAGCTGCACACACACATCAAGCGACGGCGTAAGGGTGCGGAGAAGGGAGTTTCCGGGAAATTGGCATTCACATCATTACACACACACATCACACGACGGCGTGAGGGTGTGGAGAAGGTAGTTTCCAGGAAGGATACATCCAGATCACTACACACACACATCACGCGACGGTGTAAGAATGCGGAGAAGGGAGTTTCCGAGAAGTGGGCATACACACCACTACGCACACTCATCACGCGACGGTGTAAGGATGCGGAGAAGGGAGTTTTCGGGAAGTGGGCATACACACCACTACGCACACATTCATCACGCGACGGCGTGGGGGTGCGGAGAAAGGAGTTTCCAGGAAGGATACATTTACATCACTGCACACACACTTCACGCGATGGCGTGAGGGTGCAGAGAAGGGAGTTTCCGAAAGCTGACTCAACCATGAAGCCCATTTCAAATGTTGGACACAACGGGAACAAACAACCACAATGTACCAATAATAAATCAACAGAAAAAAAACAGGATTGAGCCAAAGGAAACAACGTCAACAACTAATACAACTGCAACAAATCTCATTCAACAATCCCAAGAATATCCATATCACAATTTCTCACCAAATTGACAGATACATTCATTCAAAACAATATTGAATGACCTTTCCAAAACAACATAATAACAACCATTGCCAATTTTAGAAACTTCTAACGACCTTCTTTGCTTGAACACTTCCTTAATTCAAAACACGCAACCAACAAATATATGAAAAAATATTTCTCTTTAAGCGTCACTTTCATCTATTTTACAACAGTTCTCATTGACTGATAACTCAAATCTTGAATAGGCGAACTTCAACTGATGAAAAACTGAATATTTGTATACTGAAATATCTGCACGTCAATTTTTGAAATAATGAACATTTGAAATGCTTGAATAGTTGAAATTCAATTATTGAATAATTGAATATTTGAAATACTTGATTAGTTGAACTTCAATTTTTGAAAAATTGAATATTTGAATATTTGAAGTTCAAGTATTCAAAAATTGAATAGTTGAATAGTTGAATAGTTGAATTTCAAGTATTCAATAATTGAATATTTGAAATAGATTTTCAATAATTGAATTCAAGTTTCACGTTTGACACTACTGTTATTGCGGGAAGGGATTTACAAAGAATTCCAATTAATAAAAGAAAAAGTTCTAAAACAAAAAAGTTATTTTTTGCCACTGCTTCCTTTGAGTTCATTGACCATTGCTTCCGATAACTTGAATTTCTGTACTTTTCCTGTTGGCGTCATGATAAATTTATCAACTATTCGAATATGTTTAGGTATCTTAAAAAATGCCAATTTATCGGTCAGAAATTTTGTTATATCATCTGGTTGACATGGAGGTGCATCTGCTTTCAGTTTTATCCATGCACATACCTCTTCACCATAACGTTCATCAGGAATAGAAAACACTTGTGCTTCGGCAACACTTTGATGCTCATTTATTGTATTTTCTACCTCCGTGGGATATATATTCACACCACCACGAATGATAATTTCTTTCTGGCGTCCAACAAAATAAAGATAACCATCTTCATCCATTTTTGCTGCATCACCTGTTCGAAACCAGCCAGATGGTGTGATTGCTTCTTTGGTCTTCTCTGGATCATTGTAATATCCAACCATAATTGGATAACCTCGTGCCCAAATTTCACCTTGTTCACCAATAGGCACAGTATTCTCTTGTCGATCGACAACCTTAACCTCTAAACGTTGCATACATCGTCCTAATGATCCAAGACGACGTTTTGGATCTTCATCACCGGCCCACATACCACCTGTTAAAAAAGCAGAGTTTTCTGTCAATCCATAACCTTGAGCAACCCGCGTAATCGGAATTTCCTTTTCGAGTTGACGCAAAAAGTCAGGATGCATTGGACTTGCTCCTAATGCACCAAAAGTCAATGAACTAAAATCATATTTCTTTCGATCTGGATGATTTAGTATATCACGAAAGATAATTGGTGCCCCAATTAGAGCGGTACATTTTTCTTCATGAATTGCTTGCATTGTTGAAACTGTATCAGGTAAAATAGCTGGAAAAATAATTTTACATTTGGCTACAGCAGTATTCAGGATACCAACAATTTCAGAGAAGGCATGAAACATTGGAATAGGTACACAAACACGAGTAAAAAATTGACCAATATGTTCCCATTGAGCATGAACTAAGTTAAGTATACCAAAATTCGTCAGTGTTGCTGCTTTTGGTTGACCTGTTGTACCAGATGTATAGAATATTACCACAGGTGAATCAGGATTAACCGAAGCTTGTCGTTCGTTTAATTTCGAATGTGATAATTGTGCACCACGTTCGATCAAATGATTGTATGAATGAGTTCCTGATGTAAATGATTGTTTGCCTGTCAGAATAACATGTTTTAACGTAGGTAACACTTGTGATGAGAGCTCTCGAGATGTAGAATGTTGATCAAGTTCTGGTACAAGTCGCCGAAAGATAGACAATGATTCAATTATTTTCACAGATGGTGAGAGAATAAGACCCTTGCATCCCACTTTATTGATACAATATTCTAGTTCACGTCCAACATAAGCTGGATTGATATTAACCTGAATATATCATCGAAAGATTTCAAAATATGTCAAAAAAAAAAGAAAATACTTTACTTTGATAAGACCTAATTTGGATGCAGCAAAAGTCATAGCGACATTTTCTGATGTGTTTGGTAACCAAACAGCCAGTCGATCATTTTTTTCGAAGCCTAATTCAAGAAGCGATGCAGCTAGACTGTCAACTTCATCTTTGAATGATTTATATGTATATCGTTTTTGTTCACCTAAAATACTCATAGACTATCATTTTTGATCACGAAAAGATATGCATAAACATACTTTTGAAAACAAAACACTCATGATTAGGATATTTAGCAGTTATTTCATCAAAACTTTGGCTTATGGTTTTATAGACAAATGGAAGTGATGATGCATGATGATAATAACTTGTTGTTAGTTTCGTGGATGATGATGAGGCTGTTGAACTATCTCGTTTTTTGAGTTGAGATATAATCCAAACTGATTGTCGACGAAGGAGAAAATGTTTTGTTTTATTGATGAACATGTTTAAATCGTTTTTTAAATTGACTGAAGAATACAAAGTTCACCCACGTTACTTTGCACTATTTCAAAACATTTAATTACTAGTAACGCACCCTTATCTTTATTTTCACAGTTTGCTTTTGCTCCTTTTTTTATCTCATATATAGAAACCTTGATTGATAAATAGAAAAGAAAGAGAACAGTAAAAATATAGTAAAAGTTGAAGACCAATGATGAAACGTTTGGACAATAAACTACTAAAATGACATCTCTCGCTTGCTGATAACAAGCAACATTTCTTCTCGTACGCTTTTCATCCAGCTTCTTTTCCAGTTTATCACGAACAAATTCTTTATTCAAACTGAAACGCATGCAAGATAAGCACAAGATGAATTACGAAGACAACTAAATTTTATCATTCAACACAGGCAAAATTCCAACTTCCCTAGGGGAATTCTAAATTGCCTTAAATTCTAATTTTCATTCTGTGACAGAAGAGATGCGTACAAGAAGATCGAGTGTAGATGTGAATATTCAACTGACAAACATTGATAATGCAAATAGGAGTAAAGACTCTGTTCAACTGTCAGTACTAGTCTACTGCTCTCAATCGAATGCTATTCAACAATGTACACATCGAATGATAGACTGAACTTACATCTGAATGCAACACTATGACACGATAATATTCGAAAACCTTCTTCTCCCTTTGCTATTCTCATCTTCATGCAAGAAATAAAAAGACTAATTCTGATTTCTGTATGAAATGAAGTCATAGGAATGCAACACAGGTGTCTTTTGACTTGACAATCATCATGTTGTTCTTACCCAGTCAGACAAAACTAATAAAAAAACCCGTAAAAACGGGTCAAAAATAAACGCATTTCCAATCATAAAAACCGCACATTTTAACGCGTTATACTTTTAATCGAGTATTTACGACGAGGGTATGCAGTATGGATGTAAGTGTGGGTGTTGATTTCACCAATATCCTCACTCACAGTCTTATAAAAGAAAGGAGAATGAACTTTGTGCCAAACTATTTTATACATATTCAACAGCTTCTCGTAGTTTTCCTTACTGTTCATAACCATCATCCTCCTAGAGGAATTATGGAAAAAAATAACGTTTCTAGATGCGACAAATACATATTTTAATGTATTAAAAGAAAAGACATTTTCTGTTTCTGAGAGAAAAAATTGTTTGAAAACTCTCTTGTTTACAAATACGATTTTTCTCCTTAGATTTATGAAAAGATTTTAGTGTCTCAGAATTTAGCTCGAAAATTCAATCGTTCTAACTAGAAATTCTATGAATAACTCTGAAAATCTTATGCAATTTGACTTTTTTCGAATCAATATTCGACCTGATTCGATAAACATGGCTTAACTCGAGTGCATAATTCAGTATGTCTATGGCAATTGTTCCTAATTAGTTTTCGTATGTATAATTTCTATTGAACTTTAAAGAGAGATTTTATTATTTAAACATGTTAATATTAAACATTAAAATTAAACTCATTTTTACACATTCAATCTTTTGAAATGACGAGTCATTTCAACCATTAGTTAATGTTGAATAGCTCATCTGGTATATTTTCTGCAATAAATGCTTTTGTAGTAACAAAAATTCATTTGTAGCTTTTTGAACTGTTTGACGTATTCGATAATTACTAGGAATAATAAGTGTCAATTCCGTATGATCAAATCCATCTGTTACTGCTATTTCAGTTATCTAAAATACTTGACATTAAAAAGAGCTTCTTATTACATATAAATGAGAAATGACAAATAAAACAACTGAATTGAAACTCGAATAGTCCATGGACATATTTTTTAAAATAGAGAGGCAGATCCTTTCCTTCTAACATATACGTGCTTCTGATCTTGAGCTGCTATATTACGACTATAGAAAGAAAAATTGTTCACAATATCCCCGACTCTCCTATGTCATTCCAATGACAAGATACAATGGTCTGTTGAATTTACTGTTCTGAAAGAAAACAGCATTCAGTGGTGAACTGAAATAGTTGCAGAAGATAATAAGAGTAATATACCATTACATAATCATTAGTGTCAAACTTGAAACTTGAATTTAAGTATTGAAAAGCTATTTCAGCTATTCAATAACTGAATAGTTGAATTCAAGTTTCAAGTTTGACATATATGAAAGGTTAACAGTAAAGGATTACTTTTACTCCAAAAAATAGGATATCTTATTTCTTTTGTGTTTCACAACTTCTTTTATTGTGCAGCTTTTGAAAATATATAGACAAATGGTGGATAGTCTTCTTCATACACATTAAGCAAGTAATATATTTTCAATCTTGAGATATGTGATTTTAGTCACCTTAACTAATAAGTAAAGAGTGCCCTAGTCTCAATCGTGTTCATTCCTTGAGAAATCCCAGAAGGGTCTTGTCAAGTTTTTTTTAGAATCCTGTTTCCAGGATTTTTCAAGGTGAAACAAGATTTTTTTCAGGATTTCCTTAAGACCCTATCAAGAATCCTCTCAAGGCTATGAGAGAAGATTTTGCGAAGATTTTCTCAGTTTCTCTTCAGGATCTAGGTCAAATCATCGTATTAGAATCCTGTCAGGAGGGATAGGCACATCAGACGAGGATCTTGACAAGAAAACAACAAGATCAGTCAGAATACGAAATGAACTATTCCTACAAAATTTCAATCAGAATCTTATTCAGAACTTTTTGAGAATGTGTTTCGAAATCTTGCAAGACAATGTCAATCCTAATCAAGATCTTGATAAGAAATTGTAAAGATTTAGCAAAGATCTTTACAAATTACTGCTGAGTCCACTCAGCCATGTTCATTCATTGAGATAGTCTTGAAGAATCTTTCAGAATCATTAATCTCACAAATCTTGTCAGGTTTGATTCTAGATTGGATCCAGGATTTGTACAACTTCTGGACCGGATTTTTCTCTGAATTGAGTTTGTAATGTTGCACTAAGATTCATTGTTAATTCTATTCAGGAACTTGACAGAAATCATAAAGAGGATATTGTCGAAATTTCATTAGGTTTGAGTCAAGATCAGTTGGGAGTGGGTGAGAGATACGAGGATCCTGCCAAGAGTTATAGTCAAATCAGAGAAGGATCATACCATGAATAAAACAAGATTATTCAGAATTCTCAAGGAAGAAATCCTGCCAAACATCGATCAGGTTCCTGAGAGGAATTGTTCAAGATCAAGCATTTCAGACGTTAAAAAAATACAAGTATAACCAAGATCTTGATAAGAAAATACAAGGAGTTAGTTAAGATATTTTCAGGTTTATGCTGAGAAACTATCCAAAATTTAATTCTCAAGATTCTGTCAGGAACCTAGCAAGAATAAATGAAACGGTTCCGTGTCATCTTTAGCTAGGTTCAAGTGAGGATTCTTTCAAGATTTGTAAACCGATAGATCACAAGAGAATTTCAATACCAATGTTGAGCAGAATCTCAATATAAAGAAATAGAAGGATTTTTCAAGATGCTATTGTGTTTGTGTATGGACCACGAAGAAATTCTGACAGCTGAATAATTTACCGATATTCTTAGCTGAGCTTGATTTGGTTACTTTCATAAACAAATAGCGCGAATCTTAAAAATCTTAGAAATAATTCCTAAGTCTCGATGATTATTATATAAAACTTGCTTTGAAATTCGGACTATAGCCATGAGTTCTTTTATTAATCTCATCAGAAAAAGAAGATTGAAAATCATTACATTAGGAAATTAGCTTGAATTTAGTCAGCGCATTTAGTCAGCAGCAAATATTTCGATAAAAACTGCTTAGGGTTCTGATCATGTTCGAAGACAAATTTAACGTATATTTTTTTTGAATCAAGTTGAAATGAAAAAAATCCAGTCAAATTTCACCGACTAAAATAAATATGTAAAATGATATTGCATTTTCAGAATTTTTTTGAAATTATTTGCATTGACATAGAACTCAAATAGAAGTTTACATTAAATCCGAATTTAAGATATCGAATGATATGGCACGTCCAGCTGGATAAGCTGCTTGGTATGTACACTGAAGATCTCGAGATCGATACTTGATATGCTCATTTCTCTTTCTATTCTATCTGAAATACCCAGCAAAGATCCTGTCGAGAAATGGGATTACATCTTGTAGTAACCATAGGCTAATTCTACAAAGGTCCTTCTAGAAAACTTGATGACATCTTTGAGGAAACCTGATTAAATTCTGAAACAAGTAATTGGAAATTGTTTTTTTTTCGAAACAGGAATGACTAAAATCCTGGCAGGATTTTGATCTAAAACCAACCAAAAAACTGTACTGGATTCTTCTAAGATCTTGTTTGAAATCCTGCAAAACTCTTTGCCATTTAGCGCCTACACGTTTCTAACAAGATTTTACCGTTTCCTGAACCAATACCTGATTTCAAATCTAATAGTAAACTAGCCAAGATTCTGATAAAATCCTATTTCAAATTCTGTGAGAACCTTGTAAACTAGTGGCTACACGCTTTCTAACATTTTCTCAGGAAAAACAGTGAATTCTAGCAGGATCCTTGCCAAATCCGTCAAGGATCTTGTGTGGAAACAGTAATGGCTTTCCCTAGGGTAAACTCAATTGATGCTGTGATCGAGCTAGTCATTTCAACATGTTACTAATTTGTATATCTTTTTTTTACTTCATTTTCTTTCTTGAAAATGCGTTGAATGAACCGACATTTTTCGATAATACTTATAGAGTCTTCAAGATATTTATCATTAAGGAAGCGAGATTGGATTATTCTGTCGATGAATATTTTATTGTGAGCCTTCATTCTGAAGACATTCAATTCACAATGCTCATTCATTATTCTTTTTAACAACAATTTATGAAACTGGTATCAATGTAAAACGTTGACTTTGTTGATTGTGACATCGAAATAATTGCAATGGATTATTATTGACCACATTACCATTTGGCACATCTAAACATTTGCCCATCACGTGGATACGATCCTGTTGATCAAAGGAATATTGTTGATTTTGTTGTTCCGGACGACAAGTAAATAATTGTATGTATTGATGATCACGTGCATTCGAATCGGGAATATCCAAACATTTGCCCATCACACGAAGAGTATTATCATTGTTCAATTCAAATTGTTGATTTTCATTTCCATGACAACGGAACAATTGGATTTGAGCATGAAGTTCGGATTTACCACCGGCAATATCCAAGCATTTACCTGTCTGTGTATCACCACCAGCTACAATCAGATAACGTTGTTTATTCACTATAATTGAAAACAAAAATAAGATGATTACCATGATGAACACTTGGATGACAAAGTGATACGCCGACTACTAGTTATTTGTTGTCATTGAGAGAAATTCATTCAAGTTTGGAAGTGCAGATGTTTATGGTTCATGGAAGAGAATGCAAGAATTATCGAGTATGATTTGTTTATAGGTTGGCATAGATGTATGATGATAAGAGGATCGTGTTCTTTATTCTAAGTCTTTTCTTAATTCAAGTGCATCAACTCACCGCTGACTCTCTAGCTCAAGAGCATTTCGTTGAATCTTTAATATTAATACTTACCTTTAGCTGGTTTCCAATGGCAAAACTGTTTATCTTGATTCCAAACACGTCCATCTGAACAAGGCGTCAAAGTTGCCATACCGGATTTACATTGAAAATACGAGCTTGCATCAAACGGATTGGCGAATAAGCCATCCGTGCCACATGAAAATCCTCCATTGACACCTAAGTTCAATGATAAGAACAACATCGTCATAGTAAGAATAATCATCATTTTGCGTATCCGCTATTGACAACAATAAGAAAAATCGATGCGTTTTAAATACTGGTGCGCAGTATTATTGCTGTGAAATCGAGCAGATGCATGCAATGTCATCATGAAGTATTAAAATGATGATGACAAAAACGCTTCATATAGAGGGTGTCAAGCAAAAATGATTGAAAATTGTATCGTTAAAAGGTATTCTATTGCATAAAGACTGTTAGCACAATCCCTACGGGATTAAAATGTGAAATACGATCTAGCTTTTATAATTAATGATAAGGAGATAGTTTAATTATCCCTATTGTGAAACAGATTTTTCTTCAGTCGGTTTTGCTACATAAACTTATAAACTAGACTGCTGTCCTCATTCAAAAAACTGCACCTTTCTAGGATGTGCTGATGGAAAACGCCAGCATTTCTCGTGAAACCCCCAAAAAGCGTTATTTTGTCTCCGAGCACATGAATACTCCATCCAGAGAGCATTTCAGACAATTATTTCTGATTTTCCGGGCACGAGAGTTTCGTTGAAGACATTGTCAGCTACTCAAGTCCTCAAAATGATGTCCATTCAGGTAGCTCTCTTGTTCCACTGTGATCTATAATTGCCTATTTTCCAGTAAAACCCTTTGCCATCGTATTTATTGCAGCTAGATTATGTGATAGAGAGATTGTTCAGAAGTATTATAATCAGTTGATGTCATTTAGGGTATGGGTGAGTGTGACTGTGACTGTGGGTGAATGTTTGGGACGGTTTTTTATGCACCTTTACCCTCACCTACATTCACACTCTACACCCCAGACCCACACCCAAAACTTAACCAAATCCTTCTGCATAATTTCTTCTGCATAGGCTTATATCTGTTTTCAAAAACTTTAACAATTTTTGTGATTATTTCGCTCTCAGAAATCTACAAACATGTTGGACTACGAGTAAATTCGGCTTGGTTATTTATTTCACGAAAAAAAAAGTATTCATTTCATAGAAATATACTGTAGAACGTCTTGAATTCTATGCGCAACCGTAGTATTTCTTCAGCTTTCGAATATCTTGTACACTCATCTTGTGAAGTCGACCCATGTATGGTTCCCAATTTTCATAACCGGCCAACGTTGGTCGAAGGGTCGGTCTGCCATTTTTCGAGAACGCATCATTTTGATAGTGCATAATTGACCCTAAAAATAATTATTTCAAAAAAAATGAAAAATTGCTGATTGTTTACCATAGTCATAAACTTCGCCGAGTGTGTTGATTTCACTGGTCGTAAAACGCTGGAAGTTATGCTCATTACCTGAAAAAAGAGCGAGACTCGTCTTATCTAACGTGAAAACCCATCGACTTACCTGTTATTATGTTTTCTGGATAGACTGTGACGTATTTATCACGATCAGGTCGTGTTTGCTCGTGAGCAAATCCTAAGGCATGCAAAAACTCATGAATAGCCACGTACTCATAAACACATCCGGGCTGTTGTAATGATACATCTTGAGCTCCGCTGTTTTTTGTTCTACCCATATAGGACCAACAGCTGTCAAAGAAACATCCAAGACATAGTGTGCGAAGAGAAGACTCTGACTTACCCTTGGCCGGGATAGATGCGCAGCCAGACGGGATTGCTACCGCGGGGAACAAATTTGATACAGTTGTTTGTAGCCGAACTGATTGTTGCCATGGCTGCTTTGATAGTGTTCTGTTGCACAGTCGTATAGCCAGAGGAAAACTCGTATGGAACAATACCACCCGACCATTTGCCTGATAATTGGAAGGCATTGCGACCACGAGACATCGCAATATCACCTTCTAACAAGTGAATATCCTTCCGTTTATTTTCTGATAGATTGGGTAAGTTGAAAAGATTGGGAGCACCAAGTGGTTCTGGGTTTTGCTGCGGTTGAGAAATCTCGTCTCTTAATTCCATTATTGCACCTTGGTTTTCGTCGTTATCGTCGGTATCGACACCTGTAGCATAATGTTTACGACTGTGAGTGTTTTCAACTTCCTCCAACGCGTCGTCTCTATAGTCAGAATTGATACGACGAGCCAAATATTCTTGCGATTCAGTCTCTGTACTGTCGTCACTGTCACTTCTCATTGATCTGCCATCAATTGTCGTCATCAGGAAAGCCATTAAAAAATATACCAGCTGAAAGCGCATGATTGCTGCAGTATTAAGAATTTGTATCGCACAACTTTTTATATTTTTGCTTATGCATAACTAGCAGATATTTATATACCTCTCAGCAAATGATTCATTCATTTTATCGCATAATTTCTCTAATTATACGAGTAATATTTAAAATAAATATTGATTTCGTCTCTGTGAGAAATGTAGGACACCCATACCCTCGATCTAGATAATCGAGAATGTGAAATACGCCTGTTTATTGTCGCTGAATTCAATCCAATATAATTATATATAAATATAAATGGCAGAACCTTATTATTCATTATTGGAATACAAGATGGTATAATAGCTATTATTCATCATGCGAAAAGATTAAATTAAATGCTCGTATTAAATGTCAATTTGAGTTAAGTTTATGTCTTGATAGCCTAGCTGGTTAAAGCATCTAGTTAGTTACCAGTGTGGATACTACCTGGATTATGGTCCCAATCAAGACTTATTTTCGATTCTTTATGTTTCATTTCTTTCGAGTTGTGAATAATAGCCATTATACCCTCTTTTATTGGAATAATGAATAATAAGGTCCTGTCAAATGTATTTATATATAATTATATATGATTGAATTTAACGGTAAGAGACAGACGTATTTCGAATCCTTGATTATCGAGGTCTATTACAGTTAGCCTTCGTACAATGAAGCCTGTTTTCACTATACAACTCAAAAAGATTCGATGAATTATTCACAGTACATTGAAACTGGAGTTAAGATTGTGCCTCGATAGCTTAGCTGGTTAAAGTGTTCGACTAGTTCCCAGTGGGGATACTACTTCGATTCAAATCCTAATCGCGACTTATTATCTTTTCTGCATTTCATTATTTTCGAGTAGTGAATAATAGCCGTTATACCATCTCTTATTCCTATAGTAAAACTCCTTCGAGAGTTCTGGGATGTAGGATCAAAAAACCGTAAAAACATAACCTTGGAAAAAGCAAATAAGATCTACCGATTTTCCTAGGAAAAGCATAGTTTTCAAGTAGAAATGACGGAAATTTCTGGAAAAATAACGTACCAAAGCAGAAGTCATATTATTTATGAAAGACAAGACAGCGGACTATCTTACCTTGCATTCATCTAAGTTTTCTTGCTTTCGATGAAAATTGACTGTGTTGTGTTGGGGGCTTAAGATTTCAAGATTTTATTCGATTCCCTACGATTCCGAAAAATTTCTTAGAATCCCACAGGATTCCTAGGAATTTCTCTGGACTTCCTAGAATGGTGTAGGTATGTGCGTTGGTGTAGTTTTGGATATGGCTTCATTGGAGAACTATGCCCACACTCACACCTGCAGCCACAGCCACACGAGTTTTTTCACATAAACCGACATATCAAAAGCATGATTACGTCCCAAAACCAAACAAGTACGCATGCTAGATTTTGTGCTGGACAACCGAAAGTTTCAAACAAGTGTACCCGAATATACGAACGTGTCAAAGTACAACTTGTGGCATTGGAACGGATAAGCATCTTTTACGCGTTACTGTACGCATACATTTAAAATGTCGCAAAAAGATGCCAACGACAGGTCAGTTAAAATTAGATCATGCAAAGTTGAGTGCGGAAAATTTGTGGACTAGTTTTCAAATAGAATGAACACAACATCGTGAAAATACAGAAAAGGCCAATAGGAAATTATCCATGAACGAGAAGTTTACTAAGGTGGCAGATTACGTAAGAGAATATGGCAAGTACTGTTTTGGTATATATTGGGAGGAATTAACTGTTGATATCGAAAATGCAGTGCAAGACTACAACCCAACGACTCCATTTCAAAGTATATGATACTAAAGGGGTAGTAGTGTGAATACAGAACATATAGTAATTTACGATAAATATAAGAACAAGTGCGACAGACGGATCTGCGACAACTATCGACCTATATATTGGCATGTTGTAGCAGGAAAAGTTTTTCCTCAAATCCTAGTAAAATTGTATTCGGAGCATTCTAAACAGTAAACTACTAGAAGAACAATCAGGCTTTCATTTTCGGAGATCCACAACGGATGAAACATTTACGCTAAAAATAGTTATGAAACGCTCAAGATAATACAAGCAATCATTGCATAGGTGTTTTGTAGAGCTTCAAAGGACCTATTATTCAGTTAATCGTGAAGCACTGTGACGTATATATTGGGTGTGAAGGTGCGGATGTGGTGCGGATGAGCGTAAGATTTTCCTACACTCGCATCCTCATTTCAGTTATCTAAACAAAATGGCATTATGCTGTCCCCACTTCTCTTGTCCACGACAGCCAATGATATCAGACGTACGATTGATGGAAAGATCTGTAAAAATAGACGCGACTTAAGCGTACATCGGTGATTTTGTCTAAATAAAACAATTACAGAGATACGCGATGATGTCATACGAAAAGTAAAAATAATTGAAACGATATCCAAAAATAATAAAAATGAATATATATGTCCAACCGAAAGCAGTAGTAGGTTGTTGAGACATAGGATACCACAGTACATATGAATGCTTGTGCTAAATTGTGGCTGGAAAAGCAAGACATTAGAATTTAGTGACTAAAATCTGTATACGATTAGCTGTAAGGCTTGACGACGGTTGCTGAAACCATATTTGCTTGCGGGCTGGAGATAACAGCCTGATGGATAGCCAAGTAACTCATCTACGGATAATAACTGTCCGATAAACACGATTCAATCACGAATAGTTTATCTGTAAGTGTA